TTTACCCTGCTGCAGCTCCATTGCTGACCCAGCCTGTATGGATAACTTATCCGCCCCTGTGAGCCTCCCTGATCACCCTGTGGGGTGCAGCTTAACCTGGGAAATGGCATCAACCCATGGCTTTGCCTCTAAAGACTGCGAGATCCGATGAGAGGGATGTGCTGTGTGTGGGAGGCTCTGAGCTCAGAAGAAGAGCGTTGCCGTGGTGGAATCTGCCCCTCAGGAAGGTGACCTAATGCCAGGAGTGGGCAAGGGGGAGCTGAGCTGCTTAAGGACTAAGTCTGAATAACAAAGCCTTCCTTGGCAGACCTGATGAAGGGAGGGGTGGCTGTATAGCAGCAGTTCCCTCTCCCCCACTTGGGCATCGGAAGGTGCTCTTCTGGTGATCTGTGGGCATGTAGACATACCAAAAATGCCCCGATCCAAGGGCAAATGCCTTTTCCCATGGGGAAGGAGGAAGTCCATAGGGATCGCAGATGGTTTCTCTGGGAATACCCCGTTGCTCCCCCTTGGGCTGGATTGTTGAATCTCTCTTTTGCCCTGGCTAGCTTGGAAGAAGACTTCATCACCTGGAGAGAGCAGTTCTGGCCAGCAGTGTGTGAGCACTTTGGGGTGGAGGCGACAGGAGAAGAGTCCAGGTGGGTATGGGAGCAGGTTCTTCTGGAGCCAGAAAGCTTGGCTACCTCCGGCTGGTGGCCGTGCCATCGGCCCTGAGCTGCTGTCCCCTTTCCTGTGTGCTGCCTCCCCTTCCAGACTCCAGGGCACATGTAAAGTAGATCAGTGAGTGGGGCTGTTTGGACTGAGCCTGTCCCGGTGCGAGTTTTAACCCACCTCTGGATTTCTGCCCTGAAGAGGGGTGTGATGGGTTTGGGTCCTTGGTGGCTGGCTTTGCTGGGTTGTGATGTGCCCGGTGAAGCTGATGTTGCCCCTTGGTTTGGGCTTTGGTCTGCCTGATCCCTAATGTCCCGAAGGGGCGAAGGGTTGGAAGTTGCATTTGTTTTTTGAACTGCAGCAAATCCAGCAAAGCCGATGATGATTCCAGCTCTACCTTATGATTTCCAGTTTGACTTTTCTCTCCCCCTTCCCCCTCCAGCATCCGCCAGTACGAGCTGGTGGTGCACACAGATGTGAACATGAACAGGGTCTACACCGGTGAGATGGGTCGTCTGAAGAGCTACGAGAACCAGAAGCCGTAAGTGCCAAAGCACCCTGGGCAGGGTGCACGTGGGCCAGGCTTTGGCCGGTGGGGTCCCTGGTGTTTCCGACATGTGCTGTGCCGGCAGTGTTGTTGCACTGCAGCCGTCTGGCAGATCTCTGCCTAAGAAAAACAGGCTCAGCTTTTTGCTGGGACTCCCAGGGATTCCCTGGTTAATGAGTCGTCAGCGTGTGAGAAGGTGGCTGTGCTCACACATGCTGTTTGGTCGCTCAGAGCCTTTCCTCGCCCAGGGCAGCTCAAGTGTGATGGCTGCCTGCAGTTTTGCTCTGGGGAGATGAGCTGTGTAAAGTGTGGCCAAACTGAAATACCTCCGAGATGTGACATTCTCTCCAATCTACTTTTGCATCCCTTGTTATTAGTGGGAGAGCAGCTGTTGACTGCTGGGCTGTGCTTAGAAGGAAAATGATGTTTCCTCTGCCAGTGTGGGTAGCAGCAGGGTCATGGTTTGTGCTGTGGTGTGCTTTGAAACATGGACAGCCCCGTGCTCAAACCATGGGAGCCTGCTCTGGAGGCGGGGGGAAAGTGGTTGGGTATGGGAAGTTCTGTGAGCCTGTGTGAGAGTAACCCAGAGGATCCTTGTCTTTCCTTCCAGACCGTTTGATGCCAAGAACCCCTTCCTGGCCCAGGTTACGGAGAACCGCAAGCTGAACGAAGGTGGAGAGCGACACCTTATGCACCTGGAGCTGGATATCTCCAATTCCAAAATCAGGTAGGTTCCTATGGGTGACTGCTCCTCTGTTTTGGCAGGAGCAGTCTGCATCAGGAGCAAAGAACAAGGATGTGGCACTGGCCTCACCCAGCACCTCAGGAGGGGACCTTGTTCTCATAATTACTTAACGCTGCTCCTCTGGGCTTTGGTACCACGTACCAGGTACCCCATGTCAGGAATTTCTCCAGCTCTTGTGCGGTGCCAGGCCATGCAGGCTGCCTGCTCTGGGTCCCTCCAGAGCTGGCTGCACATCCCTGTCCTACCTGAGCTGTTCCAGCTGCAAGAATTCTTCAGGAGTCATTCCAAAAATGAGGGGGCAGATGAGCTGTGAGAGAGGGGAGAGCTGGGGATGGCTCCTGCCTGGGTTTGCCTGGCTTAGGAGTACAGGTGTACAGGGGGAATAAAGCCCTGTTCTTAAAAACCCTCTTGCTGGCCCGGATTCCCCTGGGTGTGCTTGTGAGAAAGCCACGAATCCAGGTGGCTTAATATGATGAAATACTGCAGAGTTTGTAAGCAGCTTTGCTCCTTGCCTGTCGGCGAGTTTGCCTGGCCTTGCTGGAAGTCTGGCCTTGTTGAAGTCTCTAGCAAAACTGCTGTTACCTTGGAGGCCCCTTGTAAAAAACAGCTGGTTCTTAAAACCATTGTTCCACAATGATCCTTTCTGCTATTACTGGATTATAGGGATCTCTTTGGGATCCCTTGATTGTGCAGGCAGCAGCTGAGAGCTGAGTGTTGTCCTGCTGCCTTTGCTCTTCAGCTGAGCAGCTCAGCCTTGGGGTGGATGAGAAGTGCTGGTGTTTCATCTGCTCTCATCCTTCTCTCGTGCCAGGTACGAGTCTGGGGACCACGTGGCGGTGTACCCAGCCAACGACTCTTCTCTGGTCAATCAGATTGGTGAGATCCTGGGCGTGGATCTGGACACGATCATGTCCCTAAACAACTTGGACGGTGAGTATGGATGACCCCTGAACATCAGAAGTTCTCCGTCAGCTGTGGCCTCTATCCTTCCCACCAGAGCAGGAGCCAGGTCACCTTCAGGGCCCGTAGGACACCTCCAGGCAGACAGACACCCCGTGGCTGCTCCGAATGCCGTGCCACGTTAGCAGCAGCGGCACAGAGCCTGCTTGCTGAGAGCCAGCTGAAGTGGGTCGGTTGTGAAACGTACTTGGTGTGCCCATTCAACAACAGATTATGTAACAGCACGCTCCTAATTACGGCGCATCCGCCCGCCAGAGCATCCCTCTGCCACAGCAGCCCGGAGCTCAACGGGGGCTGTCGTGTCTGAGATGCTCTTATTCAGTCCTTGGAGGAGGCGCAGGCTTGGAAACTGAATGCTGTGAGGGAGTACTTGTGCTGACACAAAGAGCTCTTCCTGGGCCACATTCCCAGCAGCGCTGGCCTCTGGCAGGAGGAAGGAGAGGGCAGCTGCTGCCCGTCTCGCTCCCAACGCACTGTGGCCTGCTCTGAAGCACCAGAGCTGTTGGCCCAGAAGCCCAAGAGCTGGCTCCTGCTTTCAGGAGCATGAGTGGCTTCGGTGCAGGGCTGGAGCTGGCGGACCCATGCGTGGTGTCCCAGGCTCCCTAAAACGCTGGCATCCCTTCCCCTTCGGTGCTCTCACTTAGCTGAACTGGACGGCTGCAACTGCTGATGCTCCCCTTTCCCAAGGGGGCTGTGAGCACAACGGTCCATGGCTGAAGGACACTATGGACACTCTGGAGGCCAGATCTGAAGGAGGCAGTAGTGTGTGAAGCCAAATTAGCTGTGGAAAATGGCCCTCCTGCTTGGCCTGGGCGTTTGCTGGGTGCTTCTCTCCGTGGATATCGCAGGGCAGAGAGCCCCTTTGGGAAGCCCGGGGTATTTATTTTTTTGCTGATAAGCTGTCAGGCAGCTTCTGTGAAACACAAAATGGGCTGCCTGGAGGAGGGGGGCTGCCTGGAGGAGGGGGGCTGCCTGGAGAGCGGGACTGCCCTGTGCTGGAGCTGTTTCAGCGTGGGATCGGGGCTTTGGCCAACAGGCTGATTCAGCCCTAGGGCTGCTCTCTCCTGAAGCCCGTTCTCCAGCTCTCTTACACTGCGTGTAGCTGCTGGCACAAAGTCTCTACCACATCAGCGTGTGTTTGGCTATTTTTAATCTCTTTTTCCTCTCCCTCTTCTCTCCTCCAGAGGAATCCAATAAGAAACATCCCTTCCCCTGCCCCACGTCGTACCGAACAGCCCTGATGTACTACCTGGACATCACCAACCCGCCCCGCACCAACGTCCTCTACGAGCTGGCCCAGTACGCCACAGACGCTGGCGAGCAGGAGCGCCTCCGCAAAATGGCATCGTCTGCTGCCGAGGGGAAGGTGGGAGCCGTGGCCTTCCCAGCAAAGCTGCTGGGTTGAACTGGGTGCTGGGGGATGCCCGGAAGGGACGCTTGACTGTTGGGCACCAGCAGGGAGCTGAGGGAGTGTGTGCCAGCCGCATAGGGAAGTCGTCATGTGTGTGCCCTCCTTGCCCGCAGGCTCTCTACCTCAGCTGGGTGGTGGAGGCCCGGAGGAACATCCTGGCCATCCTGCAGGACATGCCCTCGCTGCGGCCCCCCATCGACCACCTGTGCGAGCTCCTGCCCCGCCTGCAGGCCCGCTACTACTCCATCGCCTCCTCCTCCAAGGTGAGCGTGCTCTGAGCTGGGACTGGGCTGCAGCTCTGCAGTGCCGCTGTCCCCCCTCGGAGCTGGGGACGGGACGCAGGGAAGATTTGCCCTGGGACAGCTTTCCTTATCCCCATGCATGAGAAGAGGGGGTTATCCCAACGTCTGTTGGGTCTGCAGAGTCCCACGCTGCAGCCCACTGTGCCCCCGTACCACCACCCTCCCTGCAGCCCTGCTCTTCGCCTCTAGGCCTTGCGTTCAGGGCTTGGAAGCAAGGTGGGTTTTTAGGAGTCGGTCAAAATTCATTCTTTATTCTGTGCCTGAAGCCCTGAGGTTGTTGGCAACACCGAGGGAAGCTTGCCAGTCCTGTGCAGAGCTGGGCACGAGTCCCCTGTGGGGCATGCTTGGAGGCTCGATCTGCCAGGGCAGGAATAGCTGTCCCACTGTTAACGTGAGGTTAAACTTCTCCCCGTCCCTGAGTGCGAGGGACTGAGCTGTGGAGCTGCTGGCCCTCCCGCTCCGCCTGGTGCTGACGTTCCTTCCCTTGCAGGTTCACCCCAACGCCATCCACATCTGCGCTGTGACGGTGGAGTACGAGACCAAGACGGGACGCCTGAACAAAGGAGTGGCCACCAACTGGCTCAAGAGCAAGGTGCCCGCTGAGAACGGGAGCAACTGCCTGGTGCCCATGTACGTCAGGAAGTCGCAGTTTCGCCTGCCCTTCAAGCCCAGCACGCCCGTCATCATGATCGGCCCGGGCACTGGCGTAGCCCCCTTCATCGGCTTCATTCAGGAGCGCGCCTGGCTGAAGCAGCAAGGTGAGTGCCCAGGAGCTTCCCTGGGGACCGGACCCGTGGCAGGATGATGCTCTGCGGGGCCGGTCAGTGCCTCCGAGGGGCAGCTTTTGCTGCCCACGTTGCTGACAGGCCTAGCAAAAAGCAGGGTAACAGCAGCCGAGTGGTTTTGTCCAGCACTGGGATGCTTTGTCCTCCTCTTTTGGCCTCGGAGGGTATTTGGGGGAGTGGATAGACCTCAGGTGGTTCTCTGGCCTCTGCCACCGTGTCTCCAAATAATCACATCCCTTAGGCTCGTTTCTAAAGCACATGGGTGCCCCTGGGAATCGCAGTCTGGAGCTGCTCCTTATGAACCGCAGGAGCGACACGGCTCTGCCTCCCTGGATGAGGGCAGGGCTGGGGGCTGCCGGGAGCTGGCTGACGGGTGCCGTGTGCTCTGCAGGCAAAGAGGTGGGCGAGACGGTGCTTTACTCCGGCTGCCGCCGGGAGCGGGAGGACTACCTGTACCGCGAGGAGCTGGCCCGCTTCCAGCAGGAGGGAGTCCTCAGCCAGCTCAACGTCGCCTTCTCCAGGGACCAGGCCGAGAAGGTACTGCTCTGGCCCCAGTGCTGCTCCTGCTGCCCACCCACCACCGCTCCCAGCGGGGACGGCTCAGGCCCCGAGGGCTGCGGGCTCCCAGCCCGGAGCCTCCTGCTAGGGAAGGCCCGTGGCAGCCATGGGAGCACCCAGCACCTCCACCGTCTTGTGGAACCACAAGCACGGGCTGGGCTTCCCCTCCCTCGCCATGGGGTGGGGGCTCCGCTCCTCTGCCTCACTCCCACCTCCTTTCCTGCCAGGTTTACGTTCAGCACTTGCTGAAGAAAAACAAGGAAAACATCTGGAAGCTGCTTAACGAGGGGAACGCTCATATCTACGTGTGCGGGTAGGTGCGGTGGCAGGGAGGGGACTTGGGGAAGATGTTCCTATTCCCCAGAAAACAAGCGTGACTCAGTTTACCCATGTGTGCGTTACAAGTCCCGGGAGGGTTACGCTGCCCTTGCTCCAGGGAGGGGGAGCAGTCAGGAGGGGGGTCTGGGGGGAGCGCACGCGCTGTGTTGGGGTGTGGAGAGGCCACCAGGGCTCTGTTACTGCCTCGCTCACGGTCCTCCCCTTGTTTCCAGTGACGCTCGCAACATGGCCCGGGACGTGCAGAACACCTTCTACGAGATCGTGGGGGAATTCGGGAACATGACCCAGCCCCAGGCCGTGGACTATGTAAAGAAGCTGATGACGAAGGGCCGGTATTCCCTGGACGTCTGGAGCTAAGAACGGGGCTGGGGAGACAACGGGCCCCAGGGGTGGGCCGGAGGTGGGAAGTGCCTGCTCGCTCGCTGCTGCCGTGGGTGACAGCGTCGTCCCCCGCCCACAGCTACCCTGGTGTCACTCCCAACCCCTCTGGGGCCACAGCAGCTCCCCCTGGGCAGGCTGCGTACCCTGGGGGGTGACAGGGGTTGAGAGGGGCAGGGGGGTAGC